TCATATGGGTGGTTTTGCCTGGTCAAAGTCAGGAACAGAAACATTGCCCAGGCCACCTAGTAATGAACAGTATAGATCATGGTATAACAGGACAATGCCTGTCTATAGTGATCCATCATACCTGATTTCAGCTTTATTGTCCTAGCTTTTACTCTGGGAATTAATTCATCTCCCTTAAGTGACATACAGCCCAAATCAGAGTAATTTCATATAACTCCAGTAAGCACATCAAAATTTACTCAAGCAGTTTTAAGTTGAATACAATCCCAGCTATGCTTCTACTCCTTTATTCAGTAGCTACAGGTGTAGCTGGAAGTAATGTGTTTGCAAGAAACTCCATTATGTCACCACTGGTTTTAAGGTACTCACTGTGCCCACTCTTGACATCTGTCACAAATACATGGTATGCAACTGAGATACAGAAAAAACACTAAGCAAAGACTTGAATGTTAAATTTCAATACGCTGGGTGACTGCTATAGCTTCTGGATTGTTATACCAGGTTTCAGTTGGCCAATACATAACTAGTTTTATATGTCAGAATAGCTTCAGTAGGGGAACTGGTCACAGACTTAAAATGATGGTTAGTTCCCTATTAATAATTTCACAACTACAAATGAAAAACAGATAGGTGGTCTTGATTTTTTAGATGTACAGTAGAAATGTTTGAAATCTCAAATTTTCTTCTCAACTCCATTTGCTCATCCATGGAGGAAGACAGCAAGCCAGTTCACAAAACATACTTTCAGCCTAGCAGTACTAAATAGCTCCTATGGGGAATCTAATCTGTTATTCGTGAAGATGAGAGGCTATTCCATCTAGTGAGACCACAAATGCTGAGTCTTCCCTAAGTTACGAAACGCTATTCCGTCTTAATCTGAAATGCTCCCATTTCTTCCATTCTGGTTATCTCCTCAGCAAACATAATGGAGAATTGTTCTGAATTATGTGCCAGACCTTGTGTGGTAAAAGGACTAGAATGATGTCAACAAGACCAGAAAATCCTGAGGGAAGATAGGCTGGAAAAATCACAAGAATTACCACAACCAGAGAGGTCGTTCTGAATGTTGTATATAATTTTAAATTTTTTTTTTTTTTTTTGGTGATAGATACACTGAAAAATTAAAGTTAGCTTTAGAAATGAACTGTTGGCCTCAGTGACCATCCAAGCAAGGTAAAACTTTTAGATTCACAAGTCTGAAATACATTTACAAGATCTCATCACATAAATTTCCTTCAAATTTAGAAGCATTTTTTGTGGTTTTCCATGTAAAGGAGAGCCAGAACTAAATAAATTTCTTGATTTCTACTGTCTCATGCTGTTAAAACACAAGAACAAATATTATCAAGAAAGATGAAAAGGTGAAAGTTTCACAACTCTAAAGAACTGAATGTTTAAATGTAATTTCCAGCAATGACTGGGAAAAAACTTAGTGCAACTAATTAGGCCCTAATGACCAAATTTTTAGGTGGAAAGATTTGGTGATTAACTGCATGAAAAAGACATTCTGCTAACCCCTTCTCTGAACCGCCCCACTGAATTTCACCTACACAAACACATCCTATACATATGCATCTTGAAGGGGCAACCTGATCTGTGTTGAGACAACTCAGCAGGAGTCAGGAGCATTTCTGCCATTAGCAAGATAGGCAGGTTCCTGCTTAGCAACTTGCAGCTTTACAAAGACGGCTCCCAAGTCCACAAATTACAAGTTAACACTGAAATGTAAATCTCGATGTACTTTTTGGTATAATTTTCCCGGAAAAACCTTACGTTATGTGCTGTTAAATGTTGTAAATTATATACTATATAAATTAGTTGAAACACCTCATGTCAAGTCCTTTCTACAGTTTATGGTTTGATAGGTAAGCAGAAAAGACAGCCTTTTTTATTTCTGTACTATGTGAAAATAGAAAGACAGACATGCTGAAAAATCACCTCAAAAACAGTTTTAGAAAATCAATCAGAACAGGACAGGATATGAGAAACGATGATGATAATAATTAGAACCAAGACATGCATGGCCAATATTGTATTTCCTCAACCAGAAACTGCATTATAGCACACCCCATAAAAAGAAGTGGTTGGTGCAAATATTTTGCTCTGTTTCAGTAACATAATCTCTGTCACCTTTTTTTTTTTTTGTGTCTTTCCTCTTTCTTACTCTCCTAAAATATTGTAAATGAAAATGGAATCTTTCAATAAACCACTACAAAGATAATGTTTTGGCTCTTTCAGTGTTCCACTCTCATGACAAAGCAGAAGCAATTTCTTTCTTCTTTCCCCCATCTGACTACAAGACCCCAAGAGGATGGAGGGAACTTGCCTATTGCCTTTTCAGTTCTCTTCCCCTGCAGCCATTCTTCTCACTCCAGCTGGCCAGCACCAGGGCCCCTGCAATGCTCTCCCATTTAATTCCTGCCCTCGATGGGGCTGCACAGACATGACTAATTGCAATTTACAAAACATTTCTAGTCTGCCCAGGCACCAGGTTTCAGCTTGCTCTACATCCAGTGTGTCAGCCCTGCAGGGACAAAAAACATCAGATATTTCCTTTGCAGCTCATGGCAGGGCACAAAGAGCAGATCTATCAAAGCTGATACACAGTGTCTTTTTGAGAGCAGAATGGAGCAAAAGATTATGAAATCACCTGTAATAATTCTTCTCTTTCTGGTCTGAATTCCTAAGAGGTGTTTTCCTCTCTTCCTAATGCCATTGTCCTCCCTGTAATGGCTCACCCCTTAATGTCACTATCTTTTCAAACAGGTCAGGCTAATGGCAAGCTTGCTTTGGGCATATTGATTCAAGCTCATTAATATGCATACTCTCTCTCCATTCATTTCTCTATTTACTTTGAAGTCGCCTGGCTGGAACCTGCAATGCTTTTCCATGTTAAGACTCTTGGCTGGCATTTCTCAGCTTGCTGTGTCTGTTTTTTATCTAGGATGGAAATGGGACTGAATGCTGCAAAAGTTAGTCAATGGCACCTCAGGTGACATTTGGTGCCCAGCTGAATGAATTTCTTGGCCTCCTCACCCTCACCACTGAGAGGTATTCTTTCTACTTGCTCTCAAGTTGGCTGTTTACATTGCACAATTTAGGGCAAGTAACATCTCTGTATTTGTCAAGCATCTGCCCCAGGGGAGCACAGCCTCTCATTGTGCTCCTACAAAATATAACACCGCCAGACTCTTTCTAAATGTTTCTTCCATCTGAAAGAGCTATTTCCAGCATGGGGGGAGAATCAGCTTTGACTCAGATATCAGATTCTCAGTGTGATAAAGGAAAGTGATTCAGCTGTCTCCTTTTATTTTTTGGTTTATGATTCAGGAGCAGCTCATTGTTCAGATGACACAGTCAATCATAACTGGGAACTTCTGTGAGGAGGAGGAGTACAAGCATTTATGTAATATTCAGAGGTCACTTTATATTAATATCTCTACCCAAACAGCCCAGTACCAACTTTTCCTCTGCAACAGGCCCATGTCATCCAAGGTTATTTTGGGCTGAAATATTTGGGCATATAATTTTCCTCAAAATACTTACAGGGACAGCCAATTAGGTAGCTTCTCCTAAGACTGCATGTTATAGCAAGGTACTAAGTTCTACTTAGGTACTCAGTCCTACTAAGTCCCTCCCAAGCACATGTGGAAATACGTACACAACTTTCATGATTCCTCCATACAAAGTTTCTTCTCCACAGACATCCATTAGAAAAACAAGGAAGACACTGGGAATCACATGAGAGAAGTTGGCCAAGATCAAGACATTGAGCCTGTCTAACTAAGGAATGAAAACAGTTTGATTAAATTTAGAGGTTTCTTCTGTAAGGAGCCAGAAGATTCAAATCAAACAGGATTCAAATCAAACAAAGGGGTACAAACACCTTTTTTGGCAGATAGGACTCTAACCACTGCTAAGACAGTGCATCAAAACTTCTGCAGTTTAATTGAACATAATTTGACTCTGCATCCAACAATTCTTTCCAAGCCTTTAAATCCCCACTGTACTTGTGTGGAAGAGCAGCAGTATGATGCAAAATTTTAAAGTAATCAATTCCTCTGCTCAATCTCACATAATTTTTCAGAAGATAAAATGTTTAAATGTGGAGCTTTATAAATATGGAGTAAAATAATTCCTTAAATCATTTGTTGCATTAGTTTTAACAGGATCCACCGAAGAAAATATACAGTAAGTCAAAACAACTGAACAAAGCAATTGGTGAAGACCAGTGGTCACTAATTTATGTCACGATGCAAAGGGTTGCATCCCAGTTACTAGAATATGGCAATAACGCAGGGCTAACAGGTGCCCATGGGTGGAGAGTCAAGACAGCCTGACAGGGTTCCTCACACAAAGGTCATGAAGGCTCCAGTCTCAGCAGTATCTAACAGCTTTAACACACAGACAGCTCACACTGTCTGCTGGCTTGTGACTCACTTGATGCAAGAGAGAATCCATCTCCCAGCCTTGGTCTTGATCTAGATCTACTGCTGCACAGCCTTGGCTTAGTAACGACATAGTCTCCAAGGGGAGCAGCAGGCAAGGATGCAATGTCATCTTAAAATCCATCACACACTGGAATACAATTAAGGGCTGCAAAACTGAACGGTGAGTACAGAAATATCAGTGCTAAGAGCTAAAGTGGCCACCTCTGGAGATCTAACAGATCAGAGCACACATCAAAATGTTTTATGTTTTGGTTTTTTCCAAGTTTACTTTTCTTACTCATTTCCAGCACCTTAAAGCAGACAAAATTCATCTCAGCTAGCCCTGAAAATTGGTGATTATGGAAAATAAAAATTGAAACTGATTACTTAGTGTGATCAGCTTAGGTCTTCTTAAAAACAATATAAGAACACCTAAAGCTCTGTGATTGTCAAACTATAGTGATATGGAACCTGAAAATGTAGTCAGCACTAATACAACAATACACATCAGTTCATCAGCTAAAAAGGAGGAGAGATGAGAGAGCATGCCACAAAAAGATTTTGACTCACAGTGGCTAATTTCTGAACATCTTCATCAGATGCTCCCAGTGAAGCAAGTCCTATCTCTTGTGAAAACTGTGCAAATTTGGGATCAGCAAGTAGAGGCACATGTCCCAAGAGTTCATGGCATGTATCCCTAAGGGAATGGAAATGAAAAGAGAGTCATTACAGAAATAATTACCATAATAACTTTAAAATTAATTTAACATAAGACATTTTACAAGGGTCTGACCCCTACCTTAGAAGCCTTACAATGAATCATGTTTTTTACAGTGTAGTTCTTCCCTGTGTATGTGGTTTCTATGCGTAGGTAGAAACACACACATTTGCTTCTGTTAAATAGGTTACTTATCCTTTAACCCCAGCTGTTCCATGATTTGCTCATCATTTCCAGATTGAGTGGAAGAGCCTGATCACTACAATCTTTCAGACTTGGTGACATGAAGACTGAACTGCCCAGAGCAAAGCCAGCTGTCCCACAAGTACAGTTTTCAGCTTTTCTCTCTACATAAATCAAAATCCAACACATTCCCTTTTTCCCTTATCCATTTCTCTTTCTGTAATTGGGTAGCACTCCACATCAAACATTTTGCCACTTGCTCCCAGAAATACAGGGCAATATTTACAGAGGTTTCTGTGTGCCTAATTTCTCATTTAGTCGTGGGATCCTACTGCAATTACTGGGTACTTTTGTTATGTAGTCTATTTTTCAGCAAACAGATTTCAGAAAAAGCAGAGAATCCAAGTCATTTCAAAAATAACAGCTGTTCACATCTGTAAGTGCATTGTTAGTCATGACAAAGTGCAGACATAAGTGTACAAAAAACTGCTAACGGAAGTGCACATGCATCATCTACAAAAGCTTTCAAACAATTCTGAAAGTTTTGCTGCATTTGTTCACAGGAAATAATGGACTTGGTAGTAAAGTTCACTTTAAAAATCCAATCTGACATTTCCTTTGCTTTTGTCTCTTTCAAGACATTCCTCATTTTTTTTTTTTAATCCTAAGCTGTAAACAAATGTTTTAAAGGCAGGGAGAAAACATCAAGTTTTCTGCCTTCTACCCAAAATCATCCAATTTGTCTTTTATAAACTATTTTCATTTGAAAAGTCACAGAACATGACATTTCAGATAAATCATGAACAGAAAAACAACACTCTATATAATTTAAAGTCTTCTTACTCAGTATCCTCACCAAGAAGTCTGAACCAATAATGTGTAGGTGGATAGTAGTAAATAGAAGTTGGTGGTTTGCATCACTTGACTGGATAATCATCAAAGCTAAAGGCCCTTCTTTAATTAATTTCATTCCAATCACAATTTTTTTCTATATTCTCCTGCAAGATTTAGCTCACTAACAATGCAAAGGACAGCTGGGAAATGTAGTTTGCAGCCTGACAGACACACCACTTCCCAGTACCAAGCAATTCATCACTGGAGGAACCTGTTTGCTCCAACCATCAACTTCCAACATCAAAATGGGTCAGAAAGCCCATTCTCTGGAAGGCCAGCACACCAATTCTTACCTCCACTGAGCAGACTGACACTAATGGCTGAGCATCTGTGCTACACTCCATCAGTTCAGCTGTATTTAGCTTTGTATCAGTAGTTCAAGCAGAAGCAAACAGTGAAGCTGGCTCCAAGTTCCTGGTTCCAGGTAAGCACACTCATCTGCAGGAGGCTTCTACAGCAGCATCACTGCTCCTGACACCTGAGCGAGTACCTAGTTCTCTATTTTCCTGTGCTGAAGCCACAACCACCAGAAACAAATAAGCAAAGATGATTTATTCCCAGCTGTGTGCTGGGACACATGGACTTTGTTATGTCCACTCTTGCAGACAAAATGAGAACAGACAAAGCCTAATCCCATTAACTTGTTTCTCTTGGCAAGGGGAAAAGAATGAGGAGGCAGAAGATATTTCTCTCATGCCTTTAGCTTGTAGATTCTTCCATTAAAGCTATGCAAAGTAGTATTTTGAATGTGCAGTTACAAAGAGGGGAGCTTAAAGCAAAAAGAATATGAACAAAAAAACCCCAAAACCACAAAATCTTTCAGGCAGAAACATGAACCAGCATTTGGGACTGTCATTGGAGTCTTTTATATTTCCTTGCCAGTCTGGCCCTTTATAGATAGTCTTAACAATATAATTCTTGCTTAACTACCAAGGCTTGATTCTTTTGTTTTGTCTTATTCTGAAAATAATTAAGTTCCTTTAATTTATTCACACACATTGCTCAGAGAAAATAAGATTTTTGTAATGCACTTTTCACAGTAAAAGATTTTTCTTGGAGTAAATTAGTTTCAAAGCAGAAGAAATCTACGTAGCTCTGTGAATGTAGTAGAAACATAATTAAAATCAGGAAGAAATACGTTTTAAAATGCATATGGTAGTGATACAGATCAAACCAAATGAACTCTCTAATTTGTATCTAGCTCTGTAGCCTGGGTGTTAAATCTGACGGAAAGCCCACTGAAGTCAAAGGGAGCCTTTTTACCTGGTTTATATCATTGAAATGCAACATTCACCAGCCAGGACCTGCAGCAAACCTCATTATAGCCTTATATATCAACCAGGAGATCTCAGGGCATTGCAGCTACCGCAGAAGATGAAGAGCTGTCCCCACGCAAGTCAATTTAGTTTTGTCACTGATTTTAAAAAGCACCAGGCTTTCACTCTACACTTCTGGTAACACTTACTGTGTTTTCTATGTTATGGAAAGAAACTTAAACACATTTTAAAAGGATTTTCAGAATTTTCCTCTGGAGTTCCTGGTAGCCAGTACGCATTATTTAACTAATGTGAACCATTATGAATTTTTAAGTTCAGCCCAAATAAGGAATAAAAACCTTCATTCTAACTCAACTGTGATTATTATTATTATATAAGTGATTTTCCAGACAGCATGACCAGAAAGGTAGCCAAAACAGCAGCTGCCATTACTGCTAAGGATCAGCTATGATCCACTGCATAATTGTGAATGTAAGCAGCATCCTGAAAACTGCAGGGCTCTCAAATACACAAATCAATGAACCAAAGAACATCAGCAAAAGCACAGACACACTTAATTGCTTCCTGGAATATGTTATTGCCTTTATCCTGTTGGAGTTATGTACCTAAATCTTTTATCAGGAGATGAAAATGTCCTAGTTTGTATGAAGTAAATAAACATCATCATTCTTTTGCTGAACACTGGTACATGCTGCAGTCTGAAACACTGGCTTCCCACAGGAGAGGAAATCATTGATGCAAAGCCTGGTACTTCCCTTGTGTCATTTATTTTTTTTTTTAATATCTACAGATATTTTTAAATAGACCTGAAGAGATTCAGCCCTTCTTTCCATCCAAGCCCTTCTTTCAAGATTCTCCATTCTATCAATTTTCCTACAAATTTAAGAGATTTAAGTTCTAATTGCAGAAGTTATAGAAGTGACTGAATTCCTTCAGGGATCACCACCTCTTTCCAAAAGAAACACGCACACAAAGCTAGCCTCAAAGCATTTCAGCAAATACTTCGCCCCGTTCCCTGATGATGAAGAAAAAGGTAGAGACGTGTCTAACAGCACCACCTGGTGACTCCTGACAGAATAAAGACAGCATTTTAGATACAGCTTAGTATGCCGTGACATTAAAGTTTTTATAGTCAAAAATATTACTCCATGGTTTTGGCAGTCAATTCATTAAATCAAACTTAGGCATGAGTCCAAATGTTTACAGAACTGGAGCTGAATATATATGTATGAATCCTTTGTGTAAATTTGGAAAAAATCAAACATACTCAAGTAGTCCAAGTGGATTAAACCACAGCTATAATTTTATGCTAACTGCCTGATGACTGATTCACTGCAAAAATGTCATTCCTGTTACAAGATCAGCAGATACCTTTGGTAAAACTACCTCTATATTAGCTAAATGATATGTACTGTTCTGCTATTACTGCACAGAATACAACATATATAACACAAGACAAGAACTAAAATCTCTTTGATCTTCTTTTTCCCCAGTTTTAATCAAAAGACCATATGCCAAAATATTTCATACTAACTCACAATATTCTGTTTTGGAAAATCTGAAATGCTGTCCCATAAGAGTCATAATTAAAGTGTTCCTTATTTCTGTCATAATTTCCTTGTAACAGGCTTCATGTCTAATGTTCTCTCTTGGTAAGAGAAGAGTGCTCCATGTCTTGCTTGTGTTGTGTTTTGGGAGAGAAATGAAGTTCAGCTGTGCAATCTGGTCCAAAGAAATAAAAATGGGAACAAAGAAGATCAAATTAAAATTCTGAAAGCAGGGTTTTTTCACGATATTCAGGGTTTGTTTGTTTATTTTTTTTCCCATAGCTTCTTTTTAGCTGTCCAGCAGAAAATAAAATTGTAGACACTTTCTCAAAATTTTTAGGTGAAAACTTCATTTTCTACTGAAATATAATTAAAATAGTATTTTTGACACACTATATAAATAACACAATTATTTAAGACCCTTGTAAAAAGTCAACAAAAAAGACTTTGAATTAAATTCTGCCTCACCAATGTGAAGGATTTGTCATCAACAGCATAAGACGAATTTCACATTTTGTAGAAAGGGTCCTCTTTTCAATCTTTCCAAATTCAGTTGGTTCTTTTAAGAAATTGGTGAGCATATTCTTTCAGTGCTAAAGCAAGGGCAGCAACTTACGGTTCCGGTGTGTAGAGGGGATCTGAGCTGTGCCGTATATACTGAGTGCAGTGGAAGACTCTGTATGCTAAACCAGCTAAAAAGTCACGGGGAGACAGGTATCCAGCAACTGGTCTCACTGTGAAGCCAGACCTTTCTGAAGAGAGATAATAAAAGGCCACATTACACACATCACTGTATCACTTTCTGGTAACAGAGCTGTTGTTCATTATTCTACCAGAAGCATGACACAAAGAATCTTGACGATCACCACACATCATTTTCAATTATTGTGTGTAAGAAGTATTTTGCATTGCTAGCATATGTATAATAAAAACAGCTTGAGGTATCTAAAAGTTGGTCTGAATATCTTTGTCTAGGAAAAAATGCTAAGGTACTGTAAGTCGTGTTCTTAAAATTTAAGGAAAATATTTTTGTCTGGTACCAAATGGGACAGAAGTTTCCATATTGGAAAATACATAAAATATGTCCAAAAACTAACAGAACAGAATAGGATTAAAACAAATCATTCTTATTTTTACACATAAAATTGTTTGTGTCAATAAAATACTGATTTTTATAGTTAAGGTTCTCATAGAAATTTTTAACAGTGTTCCTTTTTCAGATTAGTCCCAGAGTGAAACAATTTCATCAGTGACTTCAAAAAGTATGTTTCTCTCCAGAATTAATTCTTTATTCTTTCAAAGTTTTTACAGGACAATGTTTCAAGTTTTTCTGCAAAAGGTACTACTACCTGCTCTATGTAGTCTGAAAGCATATTTCTGAAACAAGCGGGAGATTTTGAATTTCTAGCTAGGGAGAAAAAAATCTGTAGAATTTGGCATCATTCCTTAGAGATTGCAACACAACACATGAGAGACCCGGAAGGACACAATCAAATTCAGCATATGAAGGATAGGCTGAGGAAAGTAAGTTTGTCATTATAAATTCTTTATTTCCTTTATTTTGTCGATCTATATATTTGGATAAAATGCTTTGCTAATTATTCTCTTACCACCACATAAGTCAGGTTTTTTCAAACATCCACTTTTATAATATTTTAGTTCCTGAGTAAGATATTTAAGAAACAAATATATGTATCTGAAGGGACCTTAGAGGAGAAATTAAACTCTTAAATTAACTCTTTGGTGACTTTTCCTCTAGGGCCAAAAACATCTCCATGGGTGCCACATTGTCCATATGGGATACACTTCAATTACAAATTAGAAATAAGAATTTATTTTTGAACTTAAAAATGTAATTCACTGATGCTTAAAAATTAAAAAAAAAAAAAAAAAAAAAAAAAAAANAAATTAGAAATAAGAATTTATTTTTGAACTTAAAAAAAAAATTCACTGATGAAAAAAAAAAAAAAAAAAAAAAAAAAAAAAAAAAAAAAAAAAAAAAAAAAAAAAAAAGAAAGAGAAGTACCACATGACCTACAGTGTCCAACACATCTTTTGCAACATACAAATGTAAGGACTAGCTTCATGAAGTCTTGAGCACTCCGGAAAGCCTCATATTCATCAGACTACACAACACAACCTGCCCTCCTCTTTAAATTCAATTTTCTTGGCATTTGACTCCCCATTTTTCCTGCCCGGATATTTGGGGGATACCCAGTGCAGTTTCAGAAGTCTCCATCTGTGGCTAGCTCAGATTTTCCTTTTCACTGCACCAAAGGATTTTTTCCCTGTACAAGATAACATCATGCTTTATATGTTCAGCTGATTAATTTCTCTCCATTTCATATATTTCATTTGCAAATACATACACAAAACTGTCTTGACTCAAAAAACTTTCTGCCACAGAGAACACCAAAACCAGAATGATACTTCAGGTTAACCTGAAGGCCACTGACAGTGCTCTGAGTCTTTTCACTCAATACTAACAAAAAAGAGTGTTTTCATGAAACCATATCTATTGATAAACCAAATAGGAATCTCACCTTTAAGAAAAATAGAAACATCTTCCAACTGAGGCACATTATCTTCTCTGTATCCACAGTACTTGCTCAGCAGAGGAAAGTTTTTTAAATATTCACGACAAGCATGGGTGGGATAGAGTTTACTGAGTTCCCTAAATACCATCCCCCAAGTTTTAACTTCTTCAGCTGTGTACTCCACTCTTGGAATGGGCTGGCCACTATTGGGAAAAAAAATACAAAATACATCTGAATACAACGAGACTGCAGACAGATTGTAGATAGCAACATTTCCACAAAAAGTACTATTTAAATAAAGACAAATGAAACTATTAAAACTATATGAACTATTTTTAATTGACAACTTGATGCTTGTTCCTTAGAATTACTTATTGATGCTATGATGTACATAATGCATAATTTCTTTAAGAACTTGAGCAATCTCATTGCTTCTTCACCTTTGTATATATCATAGTAGAAAGATGGATTTCTTATATACCATGTTCCTATACCAGACTAATATTTCTCCACTTACTGCCACTGGTACCTTTTCAAGATGATGGCTCAAGATCCTGATTCAGTCTAACAATTAGATTAAGACCTTCAGCAGACTGCATTCTCTATCCATTCTTTAAAATACATAATATTCACACAACATCAAGCTGGGTCAAGATTAGGCAATTACATAGGTGCTTAGAAATGTATGGACCCAATCAAAAAAATGTGTATTTATTGCTTAGACAGTTGTTTACATATGCAGATATGTTTGGAACCCTGAATTCGTGCAGGACTATATGAGGAGGAAGACAATCTCAGAACCAGCAGCCCAGCCTAGAGGAATCTAAGCCTTTAAACACAAAAAGCCTTTTGTTTTAATTCTGCCTTGTTCTTCTGCCCCCTCCTGCTTGCACAGATGTACAGACATTGGAAAACAGAAGCCTTCCAGGATACCTGCAAATCTGTTTGACACCCAAGATTTGCCTTGAGTAGCTACAGTTAATTCAAAATTGATTGACAGTGTGAACATTGCTAAGAGATCCTTCCAACTTGCACTGTCTTGTATTTAGCTGTAAGGAATTTCCCATGCATGGCCATGGGCCATCATCTCATGTCATTGAATGTTACAATGTTCCTCTGGAATCAATATTCAAAATCTAGAATGTGTAATCTCTGCAATCTGCCTTCTCCTCAGGCATCTTCTCCTGCACTGGAACAACATACAGATTGGCAAAGGGATTCACAGCATCCTCCTCCGCTCCATCAGTCCTTATTTCTCACTCTCCTGCCACAGGGCTGGCAACGTGGGCACTCCCAGCCTGGTGCTGCAGCTTCCCCAGTACCACAGACAGCAGCTGAACAGGCATGTCAGGCACAGGCAGCTCCACTGCAGCAGGAGAACCGCAGTGCTGGCCTTTCGCTGCCGGCTGCTGCTAAATTCATAATCCTGTCTCCAGTGTACAAGGTAACAAGGAATAAGCCCTCATGTCACATTTGATTGCTGCTATGCAGTCCCTACATGTACAAGAGAGGATCATCTGCCCTACATTCATTGTGGTTGTCCCCTCATCTTTATTGAAAACTTACCATTTAATCCCCTTGCCTTTCATGATATCAAAGGATTTTGATCCATGGCAGTTATCTGTCAGTCAAAGGCAACTTTGTATGAGGTGCTCGTACTTGGTAGGGACTGCTGAATATCCAATACATGCACTAGTTCCCTGTCAGCCACTTTTGCAGACATGACAAGAATTGCAACACGTTTAGTGAAGTATTTCTCATCACAGGAGCTGCACTGGGTCTGTGCCCATCCTGCAGTGGGAGACAGTCCTTCAGGTCTAGTATCTGCCCTTCCTCTTAACACTTCATCAGCCTTAAGCTGCCTGTCAGCTCATGGATAACATAGCATAGCTATTCTGAATTGTACTGGAACAACAGATACAAGCAGGTTGCTACTCCATCCATTTGCTTTTGCCAGAATACCCAGCCTCATCCTTTCTCCTTAAGCCTGACCTCTACTATGAATACTACCATTATGGGTCAGCACTGGCACATCAAAGAGGAAGATATGTTTTACCAGTGGAAAAGCTCATGTTTCTATTTAGCCTGTCACTAGAAAGGCATAAACACAATCAAGGATCTGAAGCTTGCTCACCGCTCACTAAAAGGTTTATAACTTAGTTATTGTTCTAATTAATTCATTAGTACTGAAGTAAGGTTCACTGAACATTAATTCTTTAATAGGTTTCATGCCTAGGAGAGCTAGGAGATCTTATTCCCAGCTGATCGTGATACTGCTTTCTTTATTGAGGCAGCCAGACTTGTGGGAGGATCTGTGTATTTTTCCCTCACCTCTGCAAACTTCGTATTTCTTACCTTCTTATTTCAACATGCAAGATCCACCTTGCACTCAAACATTTCAATAAATCATGGAAATGGCCAATCTGCATAGCTAGTTTCCTTGTGGTTAAGATGACTCTACAAGCTAACCTAATCGGAATTTTTATTTCTCCTTATTAAAATAGGGTTTTTCCATTTTGCCATGGTCATGAGCTATCAACTCATATTATTAATTCCCTCTTAAATATCGTCTGTTTCCTACAGATTTAATTTTCTCAACACTTTTCCAAATCCTAATCAGTCTCAAAGGACTAATTAGCAAGATTAACACATTTTCACTATCTTTAGGATAGAAGCTAAGTGAAGGAGGGAGGAATATGGTTTTTTATGGCTTTTTTGGTCCATTTATTTCACACAGCTGATCTTCATTTCTGTGCTCTATTAACATGTCTTTTCCTTTAACAGCCAGCTCCAGCAAATGCCTGCTCCTTTAAGTTCTCTTGGTAGTGTTTTTCTCTTTTCTCTCTTCATTATGGACACTACTTTATGTTCGAGCAAAGCAAAGCATCTACCACTATAGAACAGTAGCAATTTATAAAGGAAATGCTGATCTGGGATTATGAACTCAAATTTTTATGGAGCCAATTCCTTGCAGCCAGATCTCTGGATTTTTTAAGGAAACAAATGTGAGTTGTTGGTTTTTTTACAATGGAAAATGAAAAGTAGAAACACATCAAGCCTCAGTAAGTGATTAGGAAAGTCAGTTTCCTGGAAGACACAGAGAGATGTTTACCCCCAAGGAGGGCAGCCCTTGTAAAAGAGCTTTTCTTTTTGTGGAAATAAGTAAATAGTCATTAGACAACAGACAAGACTGTTGTCTAATGTTGACTGTAGACAAGCTCCACAGCTTAGGTACCAGAAACAGCCCATCTGTAGCAGAACAGCTTTCACTGAGCTGATTTGCCTTTCCTCAGCATGGCTTGGCCTGTGCTGCAACAGGATACTGAGGTTGTCTCTCCATGGATACCCAGAGACAGACTGACTGTATAGACTAGTAGATACAGCACATCCCTGGGGAGTAAGGAGAACCAGTGCAGGAGATCTCAAGTATGAATGAGATTCTGACACATGTTAGCTAACTGCCCTAACCACTGGTCTCCCAGTTTTTCTGGTGCAACTGGTGCCTGGCTAAGAGTATTTGAATCCTCTTCTTTTCTTTCTACTTATAATACTAGGATAAGTTTGCAATATTTTAAAGATTTGTAAAGATTAGTGGAATGAAGGAGTTTATTTGAGTTTTGCTGAAGTACAAGATCTGGTCCTCAAATAACCTCTGGTCTGGATTGTATCATTTTTGTTATGTGCCTGCAAAAATGTTCTTAAGCCTTCAAAATCTAAAGAAGGAAAAGGTTTTCCTTTCCTCAATTTGTTTTATTTTCTGGAAGTATGCAGGATTACTTTCTGTTATTTTGCAAAACGGTGTTTATCTTCTGGTTTCAGGGTAGAAAAACAGGCTACACTTTAAAGCAGAAGACCAACTACTGCTTAGTAAGCCAGCTGGATCACCTTTCCAGCACTTAGGCAGCTGAGAGGGAGAAAGAAGGAAGATCTTTCCAGCAAGTTAGCAGCAGTGAAATGCACAGCACTATTGCTACCATCATGGATAAATGGAGAACTATGCCACTTACTGAAAGAGCCTAAGAGTACACACAGCCTGCCCTCATCCACAGGTATCCACTTGACATTTCACACTGCAGTAAATGACAAGAAGCACTAACTTCACTGCAAGCATTAGACTAAAAGAAAGATAATAAATCAATCAGCTTTAAACAAATATTCTAACAACAACAAAAAAAAAGCTATCTCAATTCACATTTGAAAGCTGGCTAAACTCAGGGCTTACTTGGGCAGCCTAGAGAGCTTCTCTACTAATAAACACCTGCCCCAGCAGGCAGCAGCTCAGTGTGCTGGATGCATGTCGTGAGCACCCAGATAAACAAATGTCACTGTGGGTGGAACGAAAGGAGAAAGAGCACTAGCACCTACACATGTGTAAGACTGGTAATAGTTTCATGACTGACTTGGGACAACAATAGAGGAAAAATAGAATTTTATGGTCAAAAGCAGACTTAATCCTTCTGTCCCCCCAGCCTCCTGCAGGCTGTATAATAGCCTTATACAGAAAAACCTTCAGAAATTCAGTTTTGACTTGATTCCTGACAGGATGTGCCTCCTATAAGTGGAAAAAAAATTGCACGTTTCGTATTCTTAAAACATGTAGTAGAAATCTCAAAGGAGAAAAAATGAAAAACCTAAAGAAGTGTAGAGAAGAAAATGGAAAAGAACATGAAATTAATATGTTCTTTCCCTTGAGAATGAGGGTTTAAACCTACTGCAAATAAAATCTAGAGTAGGATTAGAACTAGTTGAGTGCTTCTGTGACAAGAAAATTGCAACACAGTAGGTGTTTGTAGGTAGAACAGCAAGTTTCTTAACTTCCAGAGACTGTAGCAAATTGAAAATACTGACTTGAAATGGGAAAAAAAACAGAATAAGAAAACACTTGCAGTCTACTTGTGTGCAGCCACGAGCTTCTCTAACTACATAGAAATGCACTGACTAAATTCTAAGAAATTTAGAGCTCTATTGGCAAAATCAATGAATGGCATTTTGCAGCATCAAGTAGATCATAGAATGATACAATTGTCAAGGTTGAAAAGACCTCTAAGATTACCAAGTCCAACTGTTAACCCAGCACTGCTATGTTCACCACTAAACCTTGTCCCAAAGTGCCACATCCAAACACCTTTTGAACACTTCCAGGGGTGGTGATCCCACCACTTCTCTAGGCACCTATTCCAATACCTGACTACCCTTTCAATAAAAGAGTTTCCTAATATCCAGTCTAAACCTTTGCGCAACTTGATGCCATCTCCTCTCAGCCTGTCACTTGTTATTTGGGAGAAGAGGCCAACCCCCACTACACTCAACCTCCTTGACAGCAGTTGTAGAGAGTGACAAGGTCTTCCTTAAGCCTCCTTTTCTCCAGGCTAAACAACCAAAGCCACTCCTCATCAGACCTCAGTTCCAGCCCCTCCGCCATTCTCTATTGCCATTCCCTGGACACACTGCAGCACCTCAATGTCGTTTTTACAGTGATGGGCCCAAAACTGGACACAGGACTCGAGACTTGGCCACACCAATGCTGAGTACACAGGGAGAATCACTACTCTGGTCCTGCCGAACACACCATTTCTGATAAAGGCCAGGATGCCATTGGCCTTCTTAGCCACCTGGGTACGCTGCTGGCTCATGGTCAGATGCTGCTGACCAGCACCTCCAGATCCTTTTCCAGAGCAGCTTTCCAGTCCATTTTCTCCCAGCCTGCAGCACTGCAGGTTGTTGAGAGCAAAGTGCAGAACCTGGCACCTGGTTTGTTGAACCTCATGTAATTGGCCTCAGCCCAGTATAGTACATGCATCAAAAGAAAATAATAATTTTGGGGTTTAGTGAGCTCTTCCAACTATGTATGGATGCTAGATATGCGTGATTCAGCAGTGCATCAGTTTGTCAGTAAGACATGCAAGTATTTGTAAAATATTTTCCAAAGTTTAGGCAGCTATGAATAAAATGCTAAAAGAGAGTGCTTGCATTTCAAATGCTTTACTTGCCTGTAGCTGTATCAAAAAAGTAACAGTATTCCAAGCATCAGGTTTGTATTTATAGCCTATACTAAACTAGTCAAAGTTTAAAGGATGACTTTGTCTACTGTTAAACTTCATCCTACAGAATTAAGTAGAGCATGAATTCTAGCTAGTCAGCAGCCCAGGGAAGAATTATGCCAGTACTTACTATTTATAGCTCATGGCAACATCCACAAAGTACTTTCTTCTCTGTCGATACACATTGTCTTTAAATCCCTTAAGCAAGGAAGAAGAGAGCAATATACAATAAGGACATAAAATTAGCTGTAAGAATTATAAAATACATCATTAAAGTGTTTATTTAGTACTTAGTTGCATTGTATTTTGATTTACACTGTATACTGGACTACAAGAGAAAATCAGGATTTTTTTTCTTTTTTTTCTTCACCAGAGTTCCACAGGTGTTCTTTCAAGACAGCTTTGTGCTCTCTTGATGACAAGAGATCTCTCTACCTTTTATAGGTACAGTCATTCATCCATGATGTTGAAAAGTGAAACTTTTTCCTGTCATTTTATCTTACTCATGTTTTCCTTGATCTGAACTAAGATCTACACACAGGTGCATAGCACAATAATCTACCTGGTTTTTATACATCTTTCTTCACTAGAATCAAACATCTAGAGATCATATGCAACTCATTTTGAAGATTCTTTTTTCAGCAGTTTCCGTCTCAACCAATACATTAGGAACTGAACCATCAGCCTCCTGCACCAGTTTGAGTTACAAAGGAAGGGCTCTACCTCATGGGCTACAGTAGTCTCACACCTTTTCCACATTAAGAGCAAAAGAGTTGTATAACACATACATGCTGGCCAATTACAACTCTCTGAGCTATTCAAAACTAGACCAGTAGTCTTCTTTATCTATAAAATATAAAGACACTTCAGGTTTGGACTAAGAAGAGTAAACTATTTTCAAAGTAGAACTGCCAACCTCTTGAAGATAAAAAAAGGTTAAAGAGTTCTTGAAGTTATCCAGTTAGTAACCCAGAAAGTGCAATTAAGATTTCCCCTGAAAATTAAAATGTCTTTTTTCCTTACTGCTCACATAGACATGCAAAATACTGAAACTAATGAAAATATAACATTGCTTGATTTGAAATACTTGTATGAGCTTCCGTAAAACTCAGAAGACACTTTACTGCCCCATAACCATAGCTGTGCAGTTAGGGCAGAGTATGGGAGGATTTCACAGGACTACAGAAAGCCTTCAAACCTCCACTGCTATACAGAAAAGCTTCTTTGACTGGCAAAAGGTTGCTGTAATCTGGGGGAGCCTCCTTGTCTCCTTAATACCTTTTGAGGTAAATGTTGAGTTATTCAGTTGAAGACCATTCAAGAGACCTGGAAAGTGATGGAAGACAGCACAGGGGACTTAAAAGCTTGTCAAATGTAATGAAACTGAGACTGAAATCATTAGCCATTATGGAGTGGGTTAAGGCTAAGCTGCTGAAGTGGTGCTATCCTGACCGGTTCTGTAATAGGATAAATCTCTTTGGTCCTCTGGCACATACGTGCCACTGCTAAGGAACAGGGAAGGCAACTGGAGTGCTTTTCAAAGGCCAGTCACAGATTTAAGTCACAGATTTCTTACCCCATTTCTAACATCTAGCATGCTGCATAGGCTAACAAATGGTGTGTAAATTGTGTTTGTAAGAGTCCTCCCAAGTGTAAAATATATATTCATATAATGCAAATGTCTTTTTTTGTTTTCTGTAAAACTGAAGGAAAATTTTCAGCAGAGTGCTCAAGTATTTAATGAAGGTACCAGCTCAGAACATAAAACAGCATCCAATGGCCTGTCACAGCCATAAACTCAAAGCTGGAATGAACTATCTCTACAACCTTGGTTTGAATCAAATTATGCTAAATGGTTGAAGATAATCAACAGGCTTTTCCTTTCAAATAAAATATGAATTAAATCCTAGTTTGTCATCAAAAAGTACATGGCAGAAACCAGGATTCAGGAATGCGCTCCGTGACTATAGGCACTCAGTATGGGAAGGGCTCCTACATGACAGAAGAGGCTGAGAACCAAGCAAGGTGATGAAGATGATGATTGTGGCTGGTGTGTGTGCAGGTGACACCAGAGACAGTGGGGCTGCCATGGATCTTTGTGATGGTTTCCATTTGGCTTGTGTGCACAGGGGTGAGAATCTGTGCCTGAGCTCCCACCATGGCAAAAAATGTGTGCCACAAAAACCAAAGGAAACTACCATCTACAGCTAGAGTTTAATCTGATTCCATTACAAGACAGTCTTATGGTCAGATATCTTAGTTCACTGCGTACTTCCTTTCAGCTGGAAATTTCTGACAGTACCAGTTTAATCCAGCCTATTTTAGGAATTAATATAACTATCTACCACCAGTGCCTTTCAGTCAAGTCATTCAGTGGTTTATAGATTTGGATTTATAAATCAAAAAACTTGGATTTATAGAAAGGGAAAGTATTTTAACATAAATTATTGCAATAATCTGCCATCTAAGTCTCAGAGGTTAAGCATTTATAGCCATTAGCAAAAAGAAATAAAACTATAACAAACACCTTTTTTCTGTCTTTTGCATTGAGCATTTGACACTACTACAGATACCACTTGTACAGCCACTTGGTGGCTGGTCTCCTGCCATCAAAGTCAGGAGATTTTGAGAAACAAGAGACACCTTCCCATTTGCTGCATTCACCAAAAACAGGAACATGTTTCTCTGTTTTATCTTGTAATTACCTCCTGAGAGCCGAATAATTCCTTCATAATTCTTTCTTCTGACACATATTGACAATAGGAATTCTTACCCAAGAGCTACTTCTGGCAGAACTGAAGGTCATATTGATCTAAATTCTAAAGTTTGAAACTTTTCTATCAACCATTTTTTTTTTTAATGCAAACAGTAGAAAAGGGGATATACTTGCTAAACAATGAATAAGTTTGGTGGAGGACCTGCATTTTGTGTATCTTTCTACAGAAAAGGAAAATGAATTCACTGAAACTACCGAAGAGAAACCAATCCTCATCTTCTGAAAACAGTCAGCAGTCAATAGGCTTTTTATTGGACTGGCAAATAACCCAACAAATCATCTATGGGACAATTTTGTGTTACACTTACAGGGTGATCAGCATCCAGTTCAGATCCATACATCAAAACTCTCTGAGAGCATTTGTCTAACTCAGAGATCTTCCTGGGGAACCAAGGGACACAATCAAGATCTGTAGGAAACAGAATGCAAATTGAATGCACTGGAGTGTAAGATCATGGAGATACCTGGGCAAAACATCTGTCAGTGATACAAAAACAGCCTTGCCTTCTTCATCAGTCCAGATGTTTTCTGGTGGATTGAGAGATACTATATTGGTTTGAAACTTGAGCAACTGGATCAGTTCATTAAATTCTTTCTTACTGCAGTCACAATCCACAAAAATTTCCACCTCTGAATTTCTTCTCTTTGATTTTCGTGATTCAATATGAACCATACTCACATGCTTTTCCTGTGGAAAGACAAAATAACAGATTAAATATAGACATACATAGAAGAGCAATGCTAGAAGAGCAATGCTAGAAGAGCAATGCTGGTGGCACATTGCTCAGGAAAGTTTTTCCAGTTATTAAAAGGTCTTTTTATTAAAAATACTACCTTCTTCTATTTGCAGGATTAGTTAGTGACACATACTAAATACTGATGACAAAAAAAAAAAATCTTACATGGAAAGTAAAAATATTTTTTTTTTTAATGAAGAAAGCCAAGTAATGATTTCATTTTATCTACCAAAGCAATCTCTTACAGAGGACAGTGTAACACTTTATTTATTTTATGCAATTTTATATTTATCTTTGCTGTAAATATTACATTCTAATGCCATTTTAATTGTCAATTTGCATAATAATGATGTTAATTTAAATATAATTGAGTGTGCTTCTTCAAATAGATGTTATTAAACATACTACTTGACCTTACTACATGAGGAAGAAAATATTTTTATGAGATTATACACGTATCAATCTTCACCTATCTACTTTGCAATTAACAACATGAAATGTTAATAGCAATATAATTAAAATCTAACTCAATTTAGTCTCTATAGCAACGTCCCCATCAAACATCACAGTGTAAATACTTCTAGCATGAAAACTTTCCTAAGGGGTCTCTCTCCCACCACAACTACTGGTCTGCTAAGGGTATCATACAAAGATAGATAACTATAATGTGCTAAACCTGACCTGATCTAGTGTCATGGCTTGCTTCAAAACTGGAGGTTGGATTAGATGGCTATTCTCAACATGACTGACCTCTTATGGAGTCTGATGTTTCCTTGTTCTTGTTAGACAAAAACTATCTCTTACTTTTCACAACTATTCTTGCACTTACACAGTGAAGCCAATAAAACATTTATTGATTTCCAAATAGGAAGAAATTTATGCCTGTATTTCCACTTGCCTGCTGTATTTTACATGAATTTCCATTTTAGGTGGAGGTGTCCTCTGGCAGAGCCAACCAGCAGTGTCTGTTTTAACACCTCTGGATATACAGACACAGCACTTTTTTCACTGGCATGCTCCATAATTGTGTATACAGTGTAGCAACCCAATCACATAACAAATTCAATTTTGTCTTCCCTAGTTTAAGTTGAGAACAAAACTCTGCACTCCTTCCTGCAGTATTCAAATCATTAAGTGACTGCATGGATGGAGGTGGATATCCCTGCCACATCTTCCAGACACATTTAAGAGACCAGAGTGAGTTCTATGCCTATTCCCAAGAAGAGGTAGCAGATGTTTAAATCCAGAATTTCAGGTATGAACCTATACCAGCATTTCAGCCAGAACTGCATTTAGGCACTTAACCCTTGGAGAACAGCTGCATTGAAAACACAACTGCTTCTGCAACTTCTGTTCACTCACTTAGGCTTCCCCTGATTTTGTCAAACACCTTGCCTCCTGGCAGGCTCCCTCCTGTGAGTCTAACTTGCCTCTTTTTCTTGGCGGGAGAATCTGTGTGTCTAATCTACATCAGCCTTAGGAATCTCTTCACTGCACAGACTGGACAACTTAAGGCTTTTGTTATGCTGCTTTAATGACCCTCAGACATGCCTCCAAGCATTCTGACCGGGAGTCTGACTGACAAGCACTGATTGCACAGGGAACCAATACCTCACAATTGACATTCCAGTTAGACACATAAAACCCTGACCCTGCAAACACTTAAAGGTGTCTCTAATTTCAAGACCAAGCAAGGCTTCCACCAGCATCACCTGATTGTATTAGATTCTAAAGTGCTCTCTGAAAGTGTCTCCTTTCATTGTGGCCTGCACAGACAACTTCAAGTCTAATTTACAGTGTTGAGAATCACATCAGAAACCTAAAGTGAACCATGTGAACATCAGCATCACTGTCAAATTTTATTTCAGAAAACCCTTCACAAGCCCAAAATGTTTTGTTCAATGGTCCATAAAATTTTAAGTTACTTCTATTCAGTTCTGCAGAGCAAATGTAGCTGCACTCTATTCCTCCTGCCACAGTCCATTAGATTGATATCAGCAAAGAGCCTGGCCTCAGTAGCCATCCTCAGTCCAGCCAGCATAAATGATTTGTAAGCGTTACCTGGAACAGCCTGAGAGCTTTTACCAATCCACCAACTTCATTCTTCAAGGAAAACACCACAGCAGTCTTTCCACCTTCAGATGCAGATTCACTTTTCCCATTTCCCTTATTCCCTTTCTTCTCCTCATTTTTCCCAGAACTTGATCTGTTTAGCTACACAAAGATAAAAAACACAATCATTTCAGATGAAAACAGGCAAGAGAAATTTCCCGCAAGAGAAATTTTTGTTTGAAAATAGTTGAACAGAACTCATCCTGGCTTAATTTGAAAGAAAAGGTCATGTGTTTACTTGAAGTCAGAATCACAGGTTAAAGGCAGTTGCTAGAGATGATTATGTAAGAGGCCATATAAAATTTTTTTTAAAAGCCTAAGGAAAAGCATAAATGAGATACATATATGATGGCATTATTTGGGCAATGCTATCATTAGAAGTAAATGTGAAACAAATGGAGATGGTCTAAATTACTCCTAAAGCCTGCAGTTCAGTTATTGAAAAACCTGAATATTGCTGCAAAATCACAGGGATGGTATCCTAACCTGTACCAGTCAATTTATGAAGATGTGCACTGGTCTGTATTTTTGTATTGACCATTTCTACATTTAAAGACAAAACTTCATGTTCTTTGTTGTAGTATAATTAATGTTACCACATAATGCAATTCTTCCTGAGAAAACAAAACCTCTGTTGATTATACAAACAATAACAGAAATTCTTATACTGCAACACAGAATATCAAGTTGGAAGGGACCTCAAGGACTATCTGGTCCAACTTTTCTTGGCAAAAGCATGGTCTAGACAAGATGACCCAGCACCTTATCACGCCAAATCTTATAATTGTCCAGTGCTGGGGATTTCACTGCTTCTCTTGGGGGATTATTCCAATGGCTGATTGTTCTTATTGTGAAAAACTTTACACCCCACAGAAGATGAGTTAGCGGAGGAACTCAAAAAATACAGAAAACTACACCATCCTTGGCCACTCTTACATTCTTCTCAGAATTTGTGAGTCCAAGACTATTTTAAGCAAAATTTCAGTCATCATTTTCCAAAAAATGCTATTTTTAAATCTTAAATCTTGTTGAAATTTCAACAGTACAGCCTTTATAGATAATTTTTATAACACCAACCATGATTTTCAAAAAGCAGCCTGCATTTTCTGATACTTAGGCTGTTATTCCTGGAGAAATTAAGTCTTCAGTGAGATAACAGAGCTAACTGCTTTGTTATAAACCATAAAAATATGCAGATACACATTAAAAACATATACTATTTCAATGTTTCAAATTTATTAAATTGTACTTCAGTAAATTCTAAAGCAGCTTACAGAAAATAACCTGAAAATTCAGCTTTTTAAATAGATCTTTTAACACTCTTTAAATGGACCAGGTGAAATCAGCCAGATTTAAACCAGGTATGCTAAGTCTCTGTGGTCTTTACTCATTGTGATATGGTAGGAATCTTGCCCAGAGATGGTATGGGGAAGGTCACTTTTGTTTTAACTTCAGTAATATCTAGGATTTGGATAAGTCTTTTTCAAGCACACAACCTCCAGATGAAGTGACAAAGGTGCTGCTTTTACAGCATCTGTGGTTTTCCATGAGTGCTGCTTTCTAGAAGCTTTGTACACATCATCATGGAGTCAACCGAGCATCTCAGTCAGTGCCTCTGGAAAACAAGGGCACTCAGCACTTTCCAAGCCCATCACAGGTTCCCTAATACTCTCAAAAGATCATTACCCAAAGTGATGACTGAAAGGCCCTCTCAAGCATTTGAAAACAAGAATGAACACCTATTCGTTATGAGCCCAGTAGAAGAGGATGAACTTGAATTTTATTAGCCACGTTCATTAGTACATTTCGTAATTAAACAATGACTAATAGACCAACTTTCCTAATGAAAATTACTTATCTGGAGCAAGTGAAAGTCCTCAGGGAAAAAAGTCATTTACAACAGAACTCAGAGAAAAAAGTAACTCAAATATAAAGACAGTAAAACAAATCTATTTCGTTTAATTCAATGCTTTCAATAGAAGCTGAACATGTAGAAACAGGGATACCCCACATTTTACTATAAAGCCAGTAGGCCAATTCAAAACTGGTACAAACCCATGTACTCTACTGGTTTTACCCAAGTGATAAAAATCTTCATCTCTTAAAAAATTCTATAGGAGTCACAGTCTTCATAATCCTAATTATTTCATGTATTCAGAGCAGGTTACCTTATTTAGACACACACACTGTTAGCATACAGAAGTCTATCCCATGCTTGGAACCACCCAAGCACCTGTTGCACCCATACCATCACCTTATGGAGAACCATGTCTATCTCCTGACAATCTTTTTCAACAGTCCCCGGCACGGTGTTCCCACGTGTCCTTGCACACCGTCGGCAGAAGCCGGAGCACAGCAGCAAATCCACCGGCACCAGCGCAGAGTGCACGGCATTTGTGTCTTGCCAAAAACGCTTTATAGATCGTGCTGTGAGCCTTACGAGTGCCCTGAAAAGGCAGTCTCTGCTGATGCGTATAGCTCGCTGGGCTAACGGAGGGCTTCCAAAATCCAAGCATTTAAAACCATCTGAGCTAGATCCAATGCTTTTTTATATTATTCCAGTGGCAATGGTTCATTTCTGCAGTAAGGATTGTATTGCTAGTGAAACTTTTTCTGTTGTTTATGACACTTTGAAGGCAGCGTTCTGAACGGGGACCGATTCGACAGCACAGTTAGTTTCACCGGCCCCTGCAGCTGCTGAGAAGCTGCTGACCGGACCATGGAGCGAGGGGGACGCGCGGCTGCCGGCCCCGGCCCCGGCGGAACCCGCCCCCCGACCCCGCCCGGCCCCGGCACTTACGGTGAGGCCGCCGGCGGCGGGGCGCTCCTCCGGCAGGGCCGAGTCCAGCGAGAAGCCCCGGCGCGCCCAGTACTTGCTGGAGAACATCATCATGGCGGGCTGCATGGGGCCGGCGGGGGGCAGCGCCGCGCTCTGCCCGCCTCGCCTCGCCCGCTGCCTTTATACGCCCCCGCCGGGGCTGATGGAAACACGATTAGGGGACACCCGTCTCCGGGTGACGAGAGCCGCCGGCGGGCGGACGCCCACGGTCCCCGCTCATGTCGGCAGCCGGGGCGGGAGCCATCCCGCCGCCTCACGCCGCGCAGGTCCCGCCGCGGGGCCCCGTCCCCGCCCGCCCGCGCGGCTCCTTCCCCCCTCACAGCTGCGCCCGCCGCGGCACCGGGGCACGGCACGGCGGGGCTCACAGCCCCGCAGCAGCAGGCTCGGGAATGTGGGGACAGCACGGCAGAGAATTGCGGGAGCCGAGCTTCAGCACAGAGGAGTTGCGCAGAGACAGCGAGAAATGCTTTGGTGTAGAAATCCATCTTCAAGTGAGCAGAAGGCAATTGCTGAAACAGTAACTTGACTGCTTCACTTGCTTGACCCATCTCCCGGATTTACTTGTGAAATGTAGGATTTCTAACTTCTCTTTCATTGTAACAGGCATTTTGTGACTTGCCAGCGTCACTTGCCATCCCAGCTTCTCCTCACTTCTTTCATCTTCTAAAAGCTCTCCACTACAGCCTTTGAATATGTAGGTTACCTTACAGCATGTAGCACTGAATAGCACATCTGAATTGGGAGCGCTCTGTCAGTTTCCCTCAAATACGTACTCAGTTTTCTCTGTTCCAACACATCAGGAGGGGAAACTTACTACTTCCCCTTGAAAAGCACCCTCGGTGACTTGCCCCGAGCCTCCCAAAAGAGGGGCAAACTAGCTGAATGCAACAGCTGCCTTCACATGGCCACACGTATTATTAGCTCAGTCTCATATCCTAAGTAATCAAGAGACGTTCCCCGTTCTATTTTCTCATTACTTTTAATGATACGAAAGCAAGCTGGTGTCTTTGGACTTTGATATTCCTATCTGCTGTGCATGAAATACGTAGACATGGTTTCAGCAGTTGAACAATTTATGAGTGAGGTTGCTTAGCACTTTCTGAATGTTCCAGCGACAAAACCAAACATGACTCGGCTGCCTTTCCACCTACAAGGCAAGAGAGAGCATGATTTTATCTGGTGTTAGATCCTGGCTCTGCAGCTGGGACATCACACAATTCAATGACCCTACTGCTCTAGAGCCTTGTTATTGTCGCACCTCCGTGCAGTAACCAGAGTGCAGCAAAGGTTTTGTCTCTCATAACCGCTTCAGCATGACTCCTGAATGCAAAACAAACGAAGCTGTCAGCAGATGTTAATAGCAGGCAGGAGGACTCCAGTGCTTCAACTGTTTTAACCATGCTGTCTGCCCATGTGTCCCACAGAGAGATTGCTTCTCCCTAGAAGGGAGTTTCTCTTTGTCAGCTTGTATTTTGTAGGTGGACTTTGCCATATGAGCACCAGATCAAATCACATTTATGAACTGAAAATGTTTATTTCTTCTTTGTTCTAGCTAGCTGCTGTACAGCTGCTGGTATATGGCTCCAGGAATATTGTTAAACTACAAATTTTGTTGAGAGCTCAACTTACTTTTCTATAGTTCACAGTGCTGTATATTTAAACTAAGGAAATTCTTAAAATCACTGACCAAAAAATTAGAAGTTAATCAACGCAACTATTCAAAAGTACCTGGTCTAGAGCATGTCAGAGTGTCACTCAGCAATGCAATTTCATCTTGGGAAACAGTTAATGTTGACAGTAAGAAATGGATAAGCTCACTCTTGTTACTAAAAGGTATCTCATGGCCTATAATCAGAATTCAGAAACTGCAACCCTTTCTTTTTTTTCTCTCATGAGACAGCAGAATCACTATTGCCTAAAGTCCTCGGCTATGCACTTTTTAAGCTTAAAAATTTGCAGAATTCTCAAGTGAAAATTGAAATCTAAAGCAAATCTCTGAGATGTTTTCAATGTTTGAGTAATTTTAACCCCACCAGAGATACCAACTGCCAATTGCAGCACATTTTCCTTAAAAATATTTGTAACATTTACCATAGCTTGATTTAACTGGGAGGTGAAATTCACATGGCAGAGCAGCTAGTATAGACCAAAAAACTATTCTAATTTAGTCCTGGCTCTCCCAGATCACCAAGTCTTTGTCTCAAGGCACACTACAGCAGGAAAAAGAACTCTCAAGTCATCATGTGGCAGAATGGAGAAAGAAATGAGTCTATGAAAACATATCACAAAAGCATAAAGATGGCCCCCACAAGGATCTAAAATGTAAACACCACCATTATTCAATGTCAGGTCAAAGAGGCAGGGCAGAGAACAGATACGCTAATTATTCATGTAAGAGACGTTGACACAAGCAGAAAATAGAAGTCACAATACCTTTTCAAATCACAATTTTGTTGGTAAAACAAGGACTTTGTGAAACAACTGACAAGTGGGCTAGCCAAAGGAGATTTTTCAACAAGATGCACAATCTGTTCCTGTTTACCAGAGATAAACACACACATGAACTCCTAAGTCCAGTTCTCTGAGCAATGTAGGTCTGCTATGAAAAATCTATGATGACGATGTACACTTAATTTTTAAGTCATGAAGATAATGGATTTTTAAGCAACAAGCAAAATCATCCCAAGCTCTTTTAACACTATGGGGATTTTAACCAACTAACAACCATTGGGCAAGGATAGCTACCAAAAGATAGACTGGCTAGGAAGTTATGGGAACAGAGATGATATGGACATAAAGTGAATTCACAATTTTTAGCAAAAGAAAGGTTCTGTGAAAAAGGCATAAACAATTTCAGGAGGAAAAAAAAAAAAAGGGATTTCAATAAATTCAGTTATTACAGAAGCCAAGAAGAGGGAACCTAGAGAAGATAGTCCTTTCCCCACTCCAGGGAAAACATAGTTTTATCAGGAAACTATTTCATCACAGAGGAAGTGTGGTCTTCTACTACACTTTTACTAGTAATAGCATAAGTCATTAGTTCGTCATTACCTTTAACTCAAAAGAGGAGCTTACAGGAGATGCAAACAAGGACCAAGCTAGTAAATACAGGTAAAGCACATAGATGAAAGCTGTGGTACAGAATTCAAAGTCATTAATATAGGATATCAAAAGCAATTTTTAAAAAAAATTACTACAGCAGCAGCTATGAGAAGTGAACTATTAGACCACTGTACACAGGGAAAGGACAAAACAATAAAAGCCCTTAAAATTAACTAGGTATTCAATGCACTTTTTTTACATTAGTCTTTGTTAAAGAATCAACTGTGACCAGATGTCTATCATAACTAATAGCAAGGGCAGAGAGATAAGCTCTTTGCTTTTAACAAGATGAAACAATATTGGAGAATATACTCATGATGAGTCTGATCATAGCAAATGAGAGCACAGAAACCATTTACAGAGGAGTCTCATTAAAACTCTGCCATCAATAACTGTTTTAAGAACTATGGGGAAGGACAAGTGACAAAAGACTGGAAAAAGGCCAAAATTATGTCAATCTCCAAGAAGATAATGGGGAGGAAGAAGGGCTGAAGAATTACATTCCAGTCTAATTTCATTTGTTTGAGAAAACAGAAGTACCAAAATTATTTGTAACGATCCAGAAGATAACAGATGATTAAACAGTCAGGACAGATTTGCTGAGAACAAATTGAGTCAAGCAAATTTCATTTCCTCTTATGACAGTCCTGTGGACCAAGGCAAAACAATGCACATCATTCGTCTTGATGGTAGTGTAGCATTTGTCATAATTTCTCATAGCATTCTCACAAGAGAGATAAGGAAAACAGGTACAGATTAAAGTAGCTCATCATACAAAGTTAAATGGAAGGGTGTAGAGAACAGGAGAGCCTCTAGTACCTACCCTCACACCTCAACTATTTAGTAGAAGCCTTACATGAGCTCCTAGAGCCCAGCTGTAAATCCCCAGACTGTAACTACCTCAGAAATGCTGTAATGGTTACAAAATTTAAACAGATGCTGGGGCAGAGAGGGCTGCTTACACATAACCAGCTGCACAATCACCGGGGAAGGCAGACCTCATGTGAGTGAAGTCAGAAGTTACAGAAAATCTCCAGCTGCATGCAATCACTCTATCTGCACTGGAAATCCACAAACAACTGAAACATGCTTGCACAGTACAGTGCAGGATCTCCAAAGGTATCCTGCAAATGGACTAGACAGGCATCTAGCACAAGACATGCCCTCCAACAGAAGATACTGTAGCTAATCAATTAGCTAGTTTTTAAAAGTGCCTTCCAATACTGCAAATCTGGAATTTTAACAAACTTGTTGTATGCATATATACAGGTATTCACCACATGATGAAAAAAACGTGTGGTATGATTGATCTGGCTAAGATAATTTATGTCTGAAGTTTATCAGTTCCCTTATGCTGCTCACCGTATGCTGTACAAGTAATCACACCTGCATAAAAGATGTAACAGCCCAGGGCAGAGCACAAAGAGCTGGGATTGCCACTTTTGGTCACAGTAGTAGTATTGTTTGTTGCTTAAGGAATTATTAAGTCCCTGAACCCAAAAGTTTGTACTTTAAAGACTTCCTTGTTCTTCTGCATCACTTACTGGAGCAGTAAAACCAGAGGAGTGTGTGGAAGCTCTCTAAGACCAGAAGTACCAAAAGTGGCATATACTGATGGAACCTAAAGGTCATCTGGACCAATTCATATACCAAGAGTGCTTTGGTAAAAATCTAGTGTTGCATCTCATTGAGATTTGGCAAGCAAAACAGAACATCTGCACGCCAGTTGTATGTAATACAACTATTTTTTGCACCAGATCTAGATGGGTGCTTAAAAAGTGTCCTCTTCAATACAGCAAGGAGTTTTTCCTAACATGATCTCACTCATCATCAAAGATCATCACACCAAAGGGGTCAGGCCAGGATGGAGCTCACTTTCCATAGCAGCCTGTGTGGTGATGTGTCTGGGTTTATGCCTGGGTCAGTGTCAGTAACACAGGGGGTTTCAGCTGCTGCTGAGCACTGCACAGCGCTGAGGTTCTCTGGTTGCTTCCTGGGAGTGGCACAAGCCTGTGAGCAGTCACAGCCAGGACAGCTGACCCAAACTGACCAAAGGCACGTTCCACACCACATGCCATTGTGCTCTGTAATAAAAGCTCAGAGAAAGGAGGAGGAAGCAGGTCATGGCACTTCATTCATGATTATGGTTTATCTTTCCAAGGAGCCTGCGGTGAGATCTTGCTCTCCAGGAGGTGTATCAACACCTGCTTGCTGATGGGCAGTACTACATGAAATCCTCTTTGTGCTTTCCTTGTGGGAGCAGCATTTGCTTTTCCTGTTAAACTGTCATTGCCTCAGTCATGAGCCTTCCTCCTTCCTTCTATTTTCTCCCCATCCCATGGAAGAGGAGAAAGGCAAGGGGCTGGGTGGGTGCATGGCTGCTGGCCAGGGTCAACTGCAATACTCCAGGAGGACACAAGTGACCACCTTTTGCTGAACTGCTGTAGCCTGGGCACCAGTTTCAGCTCTGCACGCCTGACTCTGCAGTGGTTGGTTAATAACAAGATACACCTGCATAAACAGCCTAAGACCTAATGCTAAGATAGGGTATGAGGCATGAGCCTGTATAATCAAAATATATACTATAATTTAATTCTTTCAAAACAAAACTCATCTAGAAGAATGCAATAGAAGAATCAAATGAATATAATTCATCTATTTGAATTACACAGAAAGTTTGAAATATATATTTGATTCAACTGTGAAATTCATTTTGGATGAGGTAAAAATGGACATCCTACCAATCTATCTTTTGTTTTCAATTCATCAGAAAAATTCAATTTGGACTAAAGATATTGTGATTTAACATGAAAAAAAAGTACATTCTCTAAAAAATGTTTAAGAATAAAATCCTCACTCAAATGAAAAATTAAATTCAAGCTTAGTTTATACAAGGCCTGAACTGCAATATCACTTAATTGAATAGCACATATTGAAGTCCCACTAAACATGAAGCACAACTTATCTTTTAATACCACAAAAAAAAACCCAAAACCATTTGAAAGCATCTTCAAATCAAATATAGTATCACACATATATGAAATCTGTCTGTCAAGCACTCAGTTATGTATCTATGTCTCATCACCTTATCAATGCTCATATACAAAGCTCATGGTCACACCAACTACCGAGCTAGACGTAATTGCACAGACAGAACCAAGAGTTAGGATTTTCGGCTTTAAACTCAGCCACATAGAGCAGCTCATGGAATTTCCTTATAGGAACAAGCACTGATTTCTCTCACAGGGTTCTTTCGCACAGAGATGGCACCAGCCACTGATGAAATACTCAGAAACAACATGCAAGAGATTTGAAAAATATATTTTAAGATATTTACCCAGCCATGGATAAAACTTTTACCAGTCACTCTTCTGTAGCCCACAGACCAAACTTCAGTTTTAAGTTGCATCAATGCAATTACTAAAATCGAGTCAGAGGAACATTTAACACATAAGCAAATTATTAATCTTGTACTCAGCCCACTTAATTGTTTTTTTCTAATTCTATTTGTAACATTAATCAATTCACAGATGCACTGTTAGAATGTTGCTAACCTCTTCAGCATTGTCACCTCTGCTGTCCAACAGGGAATGTTTTGAGGAAAATATAGCTTCCACCTACAGAAATTCAACCCCATACTTGGTAAGGCTTCATTTGCATGACAGTAGTATGCACAAATCATGCTACTGATACCAAAACTAGTTCATAACCCAAATTCTGAATGCTAAATTATTTAAAATAAAATCTTTTTCTCAAGTTAGACAGCTGTCTTGTAACAGAAAATTATTTAGACAAGTGAGGAACAAGTGCCTCATATATTTTGAGCTAAAATACTATCTCAAAAAGTAGAACACTTCTTACAAGTTTCTGAAAAGTTTTATCAGTGGAGCTTTAGTTTGGTGCTCAAGAATATATTTGAAAGTAATGAGGAAACCAGTTCCTCACTGTTTGATGACTGGGGCCAAGGAATTTTGTCACATAATGTGTGAGGAAAAACTAAAGAGAATAATTAATGAGGCACCATCAGCATTTAAAAACTGTCCACCAGAAAAATTTAAAGATTTTAAGGAAAATCTTGGCAACAAAACTGGGCTCTGCTGAACACTATCAACTTGGTTTGAATTAAACTACAGACCAAAACAAAAGCATTGCTAATACAATGTTTTCTATTAGCAATGTTTTTGTTTTGATCTGTAGTTCAATTGTCACACTATTTCTACATCTGATTCTCAAAGCAATCAGTACCTGTTGTAACATACATATAGCCTTAAATTCCTTACAAACATTACCTGCAACAGCCAAAACAAAACCTCCAAACCCAACACAGGTTTGAAGGCCACTGGCTACAACATTCACTGGGTGCAAACACAGGTCACTGTAGCTGAACAGGATATGCACCATTCAATGTAACTGAAGCCTAAAGTGATGACTGTGGGTAACTTAGGATCATCTTTTTCTAGTTTTTAACTTCCCAGTATCAAAACCATTTCATAAACATTCACATTTCCAAACTTCCAAGAAACTTCCACCTCCATTTTGTCAGCTATTTCCATTTCTGTTTTGTAAGCCACCACCTTGCCCACAAACGGAAGAAAATAACTTCAAGAATGTAATCTCAAAATGAATAAAACTGCCCAAAAAGGCAAAATGAGAAAGAAAAATATATTTGAAAGAACTACATCAATATAATTTTTACCTTGGAACAGATAACACCGGAAAACTGCTGTGATTGAAAAGTACTAAATTTTAAACCTCAACCACAGACGGTAATTATCTTCAAGTGTCAAACATTAAAAAAACAATACAGGTTTGCAGGAATTAAACTAGTATTGCCTCTTTTATGTCCTGACAACTGTGACCAAACTGTGTTGTGGTTTAGCTCACATTTATTAATTCTAAGCAATCTAAGTTATTCAAACACAAAATAAATTTAAACATCCTGAACTGTCAACCCAAAGTATTTCATGGCATTTTAGCCATTGTGATCCTGATTAAAGCTTCTCACAGCATTTTTGAAGTCTCCACTGAGACTAAAACAATCAGGAATAGCTTGGTGGAGGATGAGGTTCCTCCTGCAACTCTTCCCAAGGCTGCCTGTCAGCAGGAAGGAAACTACAGATAATGAATGCTGCAAGGGGCCTTTCATCTTATTGTTGGGAAGCTGAGCAAGCCTACCTCCCCCGAGCCCTCCACAGCAGCTGCTCCCTGTTAGCTCACAAGCAACCTTCTCATCTTTGACATCCAAGTGCTGAATAGGAAGAGAAAAGATGAACAACTATATCCCAAAAGGAAAGGCATACTTTACTTTATGGGCTGGTAGATTTTCTTAGCAGCCATAGCTGTAATTCTAATTACAGAATTCCACTTAAATATGTCTTTCCCAAACATTTGAATATTCATGTTCAGTCAGTTATGGTGTTCTTCAAGATCTTAATATCTGGAATAGAGGGGGTTTTTTGTGTCTGCACATCCTAAATAACTAAGAACCATGCACAGTTAACTGACAGCTTGCCCACTGCATTTCTGTTGTAGACATTTCCCTCCTCCTTCCATTGCTGTATTGAACATAATTTTTGATGGAAAACATTTTTCAAGTACACTTCAAAGTGAACTAGGTGCTCCAAAAAATACTGAAACTAACTTGCTTAGCATCTTTGAACCAAAGTGTTGAATATCTAAGTTCTAACACCTTTCTGTATTCTATGTCAGATTAAATTAACTGCCAAGAAGTACAATGCTCACCAGGGAACAAAGGCATGATGCTTCACAGTAATTTCCTGGGCAGGAAATGAAAGGCTACAGATAAAGCTAAGCTGTGAATCCTTGACTTTCACAGCCTAGGACTCAAGTTCTTATTAACTGATGAGAGATAGCACATTGACGATATTAAAACCAAACTCTGTACTGATTCAGCTGTCCAGTGTTTGCTCACAACTGGCGAGAGAAGTTGAAATGACTCCCAAATTATTTTAACAACTATTAAAGCCTATTGTATTACTTGTATTTGCTTAAGATGGCACAAATAATATTTGTAAAAGCTCCAAAAGAAAAGAAAGCTCTGCTATATCCCACACTTCAACCACCTAGAGAGAAAAGCCATGTTCCACTCTGTAACAACAAGCAGAAACTCCCACAGCCCTCCATTACCCACCAAATATGTCATACCCATGGACTAACCACTGGCTCTCCCCTGTCTCATGTTCTTACATTAACAACCAGACAACTAAATTTTTTCTCTAAATATGATTTAATTAAAAACACTAAATCAGCTTTGACTTTTATTTTATATATGTACAATAGTTACCAAATAATGAATACACTTAATCAGTTATGTTAAATTTCACATAATGTCAAAGGACATCAGCATGGCATGAAATAAACTCACTGCCTTTTGCAGATACAAAAATGCATTAATGTCAATCGTGATTTCTATTTTGGTGTGTGGTTTGTTGGTTGGCTTTTTTATAACCTGCTTACCAATTCTCCAGATAATGTTGCCATAAAAAGTGTAAGTGGTTAATTGATCCGTTAATATATTAACAAATATGAACATTAGTAAAGTTTGCAAGGTATAAATTGCAAAATTACATCAAGTGTAGGACTGAATGTATTGACATGAAAGTTATCTTCAGTTAGAAAAGTTTTGAAAAAGAGCCTAGGTTGGAGCTGTGCATTAATTTGGTCAAACTGATTCATATGAATGAACAGTCAAGTTTATTTAGATACTGAAAATACAACTATCCTTTTTAGTATTCACAAACATTTGTGCATATAGTGTGTGTATGTGTGTAAATATATATATGTATATATAAAGTGAAGATATGTTAATGTAAAAATATACTGTTCACCCACTCCCAATTACACAAAATTCAGTATTTGGACATTAAACTGTGCAAGTATGAATGTCCATTTCAAATCTACATTCAACCAGCAACAAATACTTAGAAGTATTTTTGTAAACATTTGAAATAGGGAAAATCCATTTACAAAAGAATCCTCCTTTAGCACATCAGCATCACTTCAGCTTGAAAATTTTGTACAGCAGCTTCAGCTGGCATATTGTGAATCTGCTTAAATCAAGGAGCTCACACTGTCTTAGATCAATATGTGTGAAAGCTCAGCAAATGCAGAAATTTCTTTCATTCTTAATCACCATCAATTTCCAGTTTACCAGCAAAAAGAAAATGCACTTGGCTACAAAAATATTAAGGAATGTTATTGAAAACAAAAGGCTATTTTGGTAGAAGAAACTACAAAAATAGTTGAGTCATGTTGTAAAGCTTTAATGCAAAAGCATTACAGTACAGATTTTCTTTACAACCTTAAAGCTTAATCAACACCAAATTTAAATATCCATCTCTCAAGTGCTTGAACAGAATGTGCTCAGTGAAAGTCTTTCTCCAATGGGACCAAGTGTAATTAGGCAGGTGTCAGGCTCTGCGTCTCAGCCGCCTGTGGAGCGCCGTCCCCCGTCCCATTGGCAGCAGTTACAGGGGTTGAGATACTCTGGTACAGTGACGTCGGACAACTCAATTCAGCTCCACTTTCATCCTCTCCTGTGTCTGAATCCGGCGTTACTGAACTGTTCTCTATCCCCAGGATCTCACTGACTGTTTGAGGCAATTCCTAGAAAGGAGGCAGCAGGGGAAATATTAAAAATCACTGTAATTAAATGCAAAAAGTTAACAACAAAGTCCCCCTCTGTCCATCCTGTATTCCCAGTACTCATTCAAGTGAGAAATCATTCATCTGAATTTAGCTGTACTGAAAGCATCTCTCAGCAATACTTATATTACAGTTAACATTTTTGGTAGCTGCTTTTCAAGACCACAAAGCGAACATGCTCAGGAATCGATTCCTGATTAATCATGATTAATATAATCTTCATTACAAGAAGTTAAAGTCTAATCAACTATTATAATTACACTTCACATTATTGAAATTAGTTTTATTGAGTGACCCACTAGTTTTTGCCTAATAAGTCTGTCATGTTTTCAATGCAATGCACCTTTCAACTAGTTTTTCTCAAGCACACCAAACATCAAATTTCTTGGAGTGAGGTTACCTAGTGAGAGTTGAGAAATCACAACCAAAAAGCACAATTCAGCTTTCCCCCAGTGAACAGTATTACTCTATAAAATCAATTATTTTTGCTTACAGACTTCTCGAACATAGGCACTGCATAGCTACACAACATGCTTTACTGTACCCAGGTATTCAGTTATTTCACAAGTCATACATGAACACTTACAGCTAACTACATACTGTTCCTGACTATAAACATTTGCAGTAGTTATCTTTACCTTGCAATTCATCATCTGCATAGAAATTGCTTCTGCTTTGCAGAGTATATATTCCACATCGATTTTCATAGACAGTTCATTGATATGCTAAAAATAGATTCACAAGGTATAGTGAGATAAATTATAACTATGTTTCACTCAAAATACACTAATACCATGCACTGCACTGTAATACTGCACTGCTAGTAAGTATCACCTTATTAGCCTACCCCTTAAGCTATGAAATGCTAGACATAGATTATAAGCTTTGAGAAATGGCTACTCAAAGATACAGTATGGAACAGCAGCATCTAAGTCTGCAAGAAGAATCCATAGTACATCTAAACATGACAAACTATCTGGCCCTCCTACATACTTCCCTCCAGCAGCTCACGTTTTCACATATGATAAATTAGATCATAGAAGATAAAGCAAAAGTTAGTATTAAATATAATAACTCATCCACAGGGAGAACCATTTTCAATCTATTAATGATTTTATCACTAAACACAGACATCCGATAAACCATTTTGAAAGCCTGCAGGATAGACATTTAACCCTTCAGAAGATGGTATGCACCTTTCCCTCCCCCAGCATAAATCACAATCATATTGCACTAACTCCAAAAAGTTAACAATTTTAATTTAGTACCCAAAAGACAGCCCCATACTAGCCACTAGGAAGACAACTCTACTGCAGCCAAAACCAGCACAATAATGCGTAAGAATTTGGTACCTTTAGTATCTCATTAAACCCATAGTGCTTGTCCATTATTTGCTGTTTTTCAGATTCTAGGATAGCACAACAAAGGAGAAGATGAAAATTCTGACAAGGCAATTCCGTCCACATGACCTGTTAAAATATAAAAAACCCACATTTGAAATGCTTATAATTTTCCACTGGAAAGAAAAGTAGTTCTTAGAAAATATGTCCTCCAGCCAAATCACTTAACTAACAATAAGCTGTTTTTGAAAGTTTTTGTAAAATTATTTGGAATTTTACTTTTGGGCCTTTAGAGACAACTGCAAGTCCAAGTCACCAAATGCTTATCTGGTTCTTAAGCCATTGTCCACTATAATGCTACTAAACCACTTGAGCTTGTGGTCTTGTGAATGTGGGCTCTGCCTCAGCTCATGTGAAAGAGAAGTAACTGAAGCTAACAAATTATTTGTGGCTTAGAGTATCTGCATTAAGTGTGAACTGGCGGAAGAGTGCCATGCCCAGCAACAGCTTAAAAGGCTCTAATGTTTATGAATAAGGTGCTAAAGTTGTTCCCAATCCTGCCACCATGACACAAAGACATGTACATGCAGATACTGGGGGTGGCTGGGTATTCCTTTCCAGCTGAAGATACAACTGGCTTTTGGTCCCATAGAGGACACAGTTATCATTCTTGAGTTCACTGGGACTGAAATGTGTAACCTCAGTACTAATACCATATTTTAGGACATTTACAAAAACCTTTCTAAACAAAAAGTATTTGAAAAGAACATGTGTGGTAGGCAGAAAGTTGGAGAACACTTTTGCCAACAAAACCAGAAAGAAGCAGAAGTCTGCTTGCAAAGTTGCCCTGACAGATAAAGGGATTTAAGACAATGGATTTACTCTCAAAAAAGGCAGGCAAGAAATCAGACTGCTGAAAATTTGTTACTTCATTAGCAAAAAACTTTTTTCATCATTATTGATGGAATAAAGCCTTATAGCTGAGCAAGAGCTTATACTTGAACTTTCATTACTAGTACATATAATCTGTAAACAGATTTGCATAAATCCCAAAGATATACAAACCAAGTTCACCCAAAATAGAGTGCAATTAAACTTGAATGTTTCAATTCAGAAATTAAATTTCGCATTTTTATCAGACAACCAATATTCTGTTAAAGCTTTCTCTGACTCCAGGAGAACGACAGGAATGCAAGTAGGCTGATAAAAAATAACAATTGAATGAAACTGCCTATAATCTACCAAACACCGTCTGTCTACACTAGTATTGTGTTCTTCTACTCCTACTTCACAAGGACATATTGACAGCTGTGCACTGATTTTGTTAAACATCAAGCTGCTGCCCAAAAAAATCCACACATTTTGCTACCATTTCTGATAAACCTTTCCAAGTCTGGGGCAGAGCATGCACTTAAGGTTATGTATGTAAATGCATAACAAGCAGCATTACAACATGTTGGAAGCATGGAAGAAAAAGCAGCATTTAAATTATAAATATGAAGATAAAAATATAAAAATAAGGAGCAATAACTCGTTTTCCTTTTTCTTTCTGATATAGCTACACAAGTAAAGACTCATTTGTTCTAATGCTACCTCAACACCCATGATTATTGTAACCAATGTATGTAATTAACTTATTCCCAACTCATTTTGGCTTTATGTTACCAAGTGGTATTAGAATAACACTGAAGCTAGGTATGAGACAATTGTTATTTTGTAACAGAACTTTTCGTCTGGGTTTCTTCTAAGCCACCCACTGTGCAAATAAAAGATTAAGTATTGGCTGGAATTACCAGGTGATACTGCCTGTCTTGCAAGTGAGAAGGAGGGACTGAACTACTCTCAATTTTGGGAGAGCTAAGAAGTTGGTCAGTAGACTATCTGGGCTGTGTTTGGGAGGCACTGCCATAAATTAAGCCATCCACAGCCAGAGTAGTTTAACCCTCACACAAAAGTCATTGCGTGTAATATTGCAAATAACTGCACTCACATAATGTGTCTCAGCTTACCCACACAAGGTGGAATGTCACCTCTCTATCACATGCAACTCTGTCACAGAGCAATGAAACAACCACTACATTTTGTACCACAATCTGATTATGGCTCTTGCTCAGAAACTGCTAAGGCTGGGAGTTAGCCTCTACTCCAGATGATGAGAACTGGCATCTCCCATTTCCAAGGTGAATGGAGATGGAAGAAACCAGACTAGTGAAGAATCTTTCTCATTCCTTTTTTTGTGATAAAACACTGGATGTCATGAATCCAGTGGGAACAGGGAAAAAGTGTCTGATGCTTACTTAATGGTTCATATGGGTCAGAGGACAGAAATAGAGATCCACAATAACCCTGAAATCAGTAGATTAGACAGAAAAAGCCCCAGAAGTCCTGGAACCTGGGACTGGAATCTCAGATGGGACCTCTCCTTCATCCCATCCTGTGCATTGCAAGTGAGTATGTCATAGTGTAGTATTGCCTTCAAATGGATTCCCTCAATTCACATGTGCTATTACAAAACCCAACATGAGGTTTGCTCAGCCAAATACCCAAAAAAGTAATTAATTTCTCTATAAAGGAAAAAGGCCTCTGGAGTCTATAGCTTGCCTTTGTAACTCCCATTTACTTCACTGCTACCAGTGGAGCTGCATGGCTATGCACTCGAGAAAAAACCCACTATAAGCTGAATTGATCAAGGTGACTCTGGCCTTCATATAAAAACATTAACATAATGCCTTAATTACTTTCTTTTAAAAAGGAAAACAAGATACTCCCTTTCCCATTCCATGTCTCCTAGCAAAGAAATTGAATACTTGTAGTAAACATACATTATGATGCGCTATAAGAAACCTACAAGATTATCATATATCAAAAGGTTTCCATTGTCTTCCTAAGAGAGGAAAAAAAACACTTGAGGGAGAAATATAGTGTATTTCTTCCCTGTATGTAGACATATATATGCCCTAAAGCAGAGGTGATAAAAACATGCTAGCCTGGGACTATAAACCATAAATAAAAATACTGTTGTCATGTACTTCAAAAATTAGTCTTTAAAAAATACTGAGAATGCAATACTGGGGGGAAGAGATGAGTGCATCTCCCCTCCCAAATCATTATCATTTATACCTTCACATAAGAGAATTCTTCTGGTTTTGTACATATTGGTTTCCTTATTTATGAATGTTATCCATAAACTTTTTTGTCCTCTGGATGAAATACTACTTCAATACTCTACGATATTAAATTCCACCAACTGATGATAAAAAAGCTAAAAAAGATTTATTTTAGACAGTTTTAAATACTGGTCCTCCTCTTTATGTGACTCCTTTATCATTAGTGGAAAAAGTGAATAAAAGTATCAACATTATTTTTCATCACATCAGAAACAACATTCTTTTTCATTATAGTACAAATTTTATGCATCTCAGCCCTGCTCTTTTCATTACCCTTCTGTTCCTCAACCCATACAATGTTATTCCTATAAAATACTCCCTCCATTCATCTGAACATTTATTCTGTTCTTTGGAGTTCAGGAATATTGTGCCCCTGTTAAATGCATTTTTGACAATAAATGTTGGCACACTTCTCAATTTTCCCGGAATGAAAAATTAAAGACAAGAGTATTAGTTAACTGTAATTATTTCATCTGATCCCAAGATCACCTAAATCAAAATAAAAGATCTCATTAACCCAGAATTATCAGAACTTCAACATTTTGATGTTTTACATAATGTTATGTAGCATCACAAGGCCTTATCATCAAGATTAATGATCTTCTGACGTCATCCTCCTCATGGTTTTGTCTAACACAAATTACCCTGACAGTGCTTCATTCAACTTAATCTATAAAGAATCACCAATACCAAAGAATTAATCAAACAAATGCTCTTTCTTTTATCATGAGCTGTGTTCCATTAACAGTTAACTGGTACTCCCCACTTACTACTTTCACTTAAGAGTCTCAGTTGAAGGCTCCTGTCCGAATCATTTTGGACAGCCAATTTATGCAAACCAGCTCTAGTAAGTATTTTTTCATTAATTTCACAAGCTGTTCTTTAGGCTAAAAAGACATAAGAAGTTCTTGCTTGTCCTCAGATCATTGTACTAAATCCTTTTTTTTTAATTTATCAGAGTATTAAACACTTTGCAAAATGATCCATGCTTTTTGTTCTAAAGTCCAAAAACTGCTGGAATTTGTGTGATGAAATATTTCCTTACCTCCCAGAGTCGAAGAATATCTTGAAAACTAAATTCCCTTTTAAATCTGATAAGAAGCCACCGGAAGCAAAAATAAAGGTAGCCTGAGTCTTGAGATTCTAGGAATAAGAGTGTGACATTTCAGAAGCATCAAATTTGGTTCAGACGTGAAAAAAAAAAACAAACCCACACTTTACAGGTACATGCTTACACCACTAATTTTTAAGATGGCAGGATCTTTTTAGAATCAAGATATTTGCAAGAGTATGGTATATTTTTCAAACTGATAACAGGATGACCCTATTTTTTCAATAAGCATGAAACAATTATTGAAATATTTTAGGCATTATAAAGTTACAAGTCCTGTACTCATAGAATATTGGAATTATATTTAGATTTGTAAGGAACAGAATGCAGGAAGCTGTTTCAGTTACTGTGCATGAACAATACACCTACCTAAATAACTGCAAAATCCACTGTCTAGTAAACGAAGCAAATGACTCAGCTGAATAAGTTGTGTCTTCATACCCTGCATCTGTTCTTCAAAATTCTGATGCTGTATGGAATAAAACATTAGCACTGTCACTTTTATTAACTCAATTTTAAGATTTGCAGCAATTTTAAAGGAAGTTTTGTTATTGCAACAGTGGTTCTCACCCCTTAGGTATTTAATATATAGATATTTAACTGTATTTCTATCTAACAAAATGTCTGCCTTTTACTGAGAAGTTTAACTAAAGCACTGAACTGTATTTCTTTGCTAACATTTTTGTATGTAATAAATCTGATTAAGCTCTGTATTTCCCAGCAGCATAACTGCACTCAAACAAAAAAATTCTCTTTTATTTTCGTATCAGTCACACATTCTTGCCAAATGCAAAAGTCATAAAAGTCTCAGTTTGTAGGAAGTCTAAACTGCATTTAATAAAACCCAAAAGGCAGGTATATAATGAAACCACTATCCTGAACAAAATCCTGCTTGAGGACTCCTGATAAATACAAATTTGTCTGTGATGGTTACTTTGGAATTCTTAAGGAGCCAAATATACCTGCTTCATACAGCAATACTATTGCAAACCCATAACAACCTCAATCAACAAGAGCATATTGACTCCAAACATAAATGACTGCTTTAAAATAATTCAAAAATCCCAGTGAAATTTCTAAATTAAAATTAACCCCAAATACTATCTGTAGCTTATCTGTTTATTTGAGCTAAAAAAGCCTTATTTTACCATTTGATCCATGTATGATACAAAGCACCAAAAGGCATCTACTTCATTCTCCATAACATACAAGACAGGTGACAGCAAGTCGCTCATCCCCTGCACATAACCTTGATGGAGAAAAAGCAGAGGGTGGGGGGTGGGGGGGAAGCAAAAAGAAATTTAAACTCAGCAGTTAAACAGTAATTTTTCAAGTGTGCAAATGACTGAGTGAAACAAATATTAGTGCATACAGAAACTATAATTCTCTGATTCAACTGCCTGTAAAGACAGATTTGTATTAATAGGCACTAACATCCCATAGATCTGCTAAGATTTACAAGCCATTTCTGCTAATCCAAAGAGAACATAAAGCAAACACATTGTTCCAATAGCTGTTAAAATATGTACAAACTGAGTTTGTACACAACATATTTTTAGTAAAAATGTTCCTATTTAGAAGTCAGGAGCATATATTGATATTTTTAAGATTAAGTCTCTACCTTGCACCATCACAAATACAAGCTTGTATATAATTTCCTTTCTATTTGTACTTGATTACTTTCTTCTAGACATTTAAAAATTGTGAGTATCTTTGCACTCCCTCACCCACACTCTAAAGATGATTTTCTTCTCAAATTCACTTAAAGAGATGTTGAGCTACAATTCCAGAAAAACACAGTGCAACAGTTCTTATGAAGAAAACTTTGCATTTTACACTTCTTTTTTTTCTGTCACTGAATATGCTTTAAAGATTCCTTAATTTAAGCAAGTTGGGACTGTTCTGCTTGAGCAGTACTTTAAATACACCCAAGCCTAAGACCGTCTGTGTAACCAAGCAGATAACAACAAACAAGTCAACCTATCCAAGTGAGAAAGGGAATTAATAGTAAAGTATTGCTTGCAAGAAGCACCAAAGTAACATGTCTCTAGATCTGATTCAAGGACATGCCTTCATATTTTGTGCCTAGAACTGGTGAATAAAATCCATACCACCTAAAAAGTACTCACACTCTTTCAAGAAAAGCTTTCATTTAACTGGAGGAAGAAAGCCCACTAAAGCATATAGTTTTTATAAACAGCTATAAAATTTTAGTTGTATAAAAAAAGTTTTTCAAGTTTTACAGTTTTTAAATGCTTCTTCCATCTTTCTTGTTTGTAATTAACAGTCCATTTACGTAGAGCATAATGATTTCTAATTTTCCCCTTCTTCCCAACTGATGATAGTGTCAGCTTATCTATTGCCCAATTGTTGCTGGCATTTCTAAATAAGAGAACACAATTAATGTATCTATCATCAATGATAGGTTCAACATAACATTTTTCAGTTGGCTGACTTTATTTCTCAATGATGTAATTGTAACTCTGTAACTGAAAAGAAGATTAGAGTCAGTAACTGAAAACACAGAACATCTGTGAGAAGAAAAATAGAATAAATAACAGCAAACAGGTAAATAATTAAAAGGTCAAAAGAAAATAGTGTTGTTCCTCACATATGAAATACTACAGCTAACTAAAAATAAATGCAGGGAACATTCTGTCCAAGACAGTTTAAAAGTCCATTTAATAATAAAACCAAACTCATTAATGCAGACTTAAGGAATTAATTCAGAAAAATATTCTATTAACAGCTATTCTGTCCCCTCCCCTATCCAGCAGTTTGTGGCGTTATTCAGACCACTCTAAAGCTGCTGTCAAAAGATTAAGAGTAGCACTGCACCAATGTGTAGAAGCCTTAGACAGTTACTGTGTCAAATTTACTGTATTTCCATTATTCTTGCTTGTTTATAAAACAAAAGACTTATCCAGTGTGCACTTAAGCCATCTCAACAATGTATTTACCAGAGTGGGTGGTGAATCTGCTTTACTTTCACCTATAATGTCACTGTGCATTAATGAATGCTGAAATGTGGAAAGAGATGTAACAGAGCTACATGCTTAAACCATCAGTTTTAGTTTTCTTTTTTTTCAAGCCAAAGATCAAGACTCTTTCAGAGAGAACGAAAGCTGACAAGAACTACAGCTCTATAGCATGTTTACTAGCAGTTAAAGATTTCATCTTACTTCTTGTTTTCAAAATCTGGCATGAAGTGGGCTTTTAGAATCTCAAAACTTTTCTGATACAGAATACCCAAAAAAACCTCCGAAGTATACAGCAGCCAAATGTCATGCCGGGGGTGAAGGGTGAACAAACTCCAAGCATCTTTTCCCTCCTTCCCAACACAACTGACAAGAAACCAAGACTTAGCTATCATATTAACAGTGTGATTAAAGTGAGATGTTATATGCTTTTCCCTCTGCAGCAGATGCATGTACTAAAATGTAATTTTGACAGATTGCTAAGTGCACTTCTCAAGAACTAGCTTTTAAAATATTCAAAGAACACCATGTTTACAAACAGCTGGTTCAGCATACTGAGCTTTAATTACAGCAGTGGCAGCTGGCTTATCATTTTTATTGACATTATCAGTCTTAAAAATATATATAACACTTCAGCTCCAAAGACCCAAACCCATTCAAAACTTTGAGAAGCAAGACTGCTTCAATTCTATTAAAAAAGTTAACACAAAAAGACCTAAACCAAAAAAACCACACAAAAACCCCCAAAACAAAAAAAGAACCCCACAACAGTAGGCCTGTGGTGAAGACAAACTACCACTTAATTTCCAATCCCACTAGAGCTAATGAGTTCAGATGCTGAAGACACGCACCAAATTGAAGAGAGGAAGAAAAACTGAACAAAGTTATCTACATTATTAAATACTACAAATTATCAAAATTAAAAAAAAAAA